CACTTCATTGTGTCATTTATCAGTTGTTTACTAATTCTCACTATGATAATATATAGTAGACACATATTCTAAAGTATTTGTTAAGAGTACTAAATATTTGTTTAATTCTAAGTAATCTAGTTCTTTCTATTATATTTTAATAACAAGTGTTGTAATTTTGTTTTATAGAAAACAATGATATCTAGCATCTGTATTTATAAGTGATTATTATTCAATTGATAGTTATTCTCTTTACATACAATTAAATAATTCAAATGTTTTCTTAAACATTTTGTTGATTTTTAAATGTTTAATCTCATTACTTTGGTATCAAAATATTATTGTACAGCTAATCAAAGTACACTGAAGCTAATTATTTATATTATTTTTGATCACTGCTAACTCATAATTTAGTTATTTATGTTTATTTTTTATTTTTTTATCTAGGTATAAATTGATAACAAAAATCTTAAATGTTCAGGAATTTACCAATAAATGAGAACCACACAATTAAGTACTCCACTTATACATTAAACATGAAAATTATTTCATACAAAAAACTATTGATGAATTAAGACATATTTTAATTACAATAATATTGTCAATATATTTATTAATGGTAAGTATTTTATTAGTTATTTTATGGAATCTACTTGATTGTCTTGTGACTTTTAGTTTCTATTGTTGTCCACTTGTTCCTTCATATTAAATCTTTAAATGGATACTACACATTTGAGTATTCTCAAACTTTGATAATTTTTACTATAATACATTTGTATACTATTTTTTTTAAGATTGTTACACACTTGGACACTTTAGTTTATTATAAATATTTATTATTAACAGTATGTCTCAGAAGTATTTTTCACCCTTAGTGTATCTCCTTGGCAAACAATAAATTTAAATGATGTAAGTTTTATAGCAATTAATAAAATACCAATTGAATGATATGAATTTCTAAATATTTTTTTCCAAATTTCAAATAAAAAGAATGCTTATACAATCAAGATTTTTTATTTTCAAACCATTATTTTGATCATATATCACAGTAATTTAAAATAATTTATATTAAAATTTAGATGAAACTTATTGAGTTGAAGTAAATTAAGCTTTTTATTTCATAACAATAATAGTTATATTTGAAATCTTTAATTGTATGCTTTAATTAATCTTAGTTGGAACAAGGATTTTTTTTACTTATAGATTTTTCATTAAAAAATATTTATTTCCAATTATTGGATCCTAGCATATTTATGAAATTTTCAATTAGAATATAATTATTGTTAATATCTTTCCCTTTTTTTATCATTTCTGATTTGTTTTATATTTAATATGATTATAACATTACATTCATTTTGTATTTTGGAATAATTTTATTTTAAAGTATTTTAATTTAAATATTTGATAGTTATTTCTTGCATTTCCAATTTTGTAATGTCATCTAACACTGACATATTTGATACTTTTTGGAATGATAATAAGTCTAATCCTTCAATAGATTTATTTTAACATGCAGATTTAGTCATCTTTATGTCATACTCACTAAATTTCATCAAATTATATGTCATATTGTTACTTTATGTAAAAACTAAAATGCTAAGCTAATAAAATTAAGTATTAATTTTAGTATATGTTTACTATTACAAAATTATTGTTGTTAATTTTATTGTTATATTTTTGTTGACAATTGTTAAAGTTATATATATATTTTAAATATAAATTATTGTTTCAGTTACTAGAAAGATCCTGTATACACAACAGAAAATATTGAAGATTAAATAAAAACAGAAATGGAAATTGACTTTTATATATGAAATTTTTTTTATAAATGAAACAAATATGTGTTCATAATTTGCAATTAAAACATAATTAATTATAGATTAAAAACTTTAGAATAAAAATATTGACTTTAAATCATAAATTACAACTAATTACAAAGTGATATCATCCAAAAACAAAAACAACAGTTTACTTTGCTCCCTCTCCAGCCAAAAAAATAAAATCAAACTATTATTATAAGTAAGGATTTATGATGAATCTTAGTAGTTGTTAAGTTATTGTATACTTATTTAATTGTAAATTAATATTGTATGATAAACTGATAAAAATTATAATGATAAATTATGTTGATTCAATGCCAGATAGTATAAACTTCCAGATTTTCCTTTGTAAAAAATAAATAAAAATATTCACGCCTCTGAAACAGGAATATCCCTAAAACCCATACTTAATTGAATTTAAAAAAACTGCTCAACACTTTTTTGAAGTAATTTTCTCAAACATCTATCTTAAGCACTGTAGTATTTATCACAAATAATTCATTTATATGGCTTTTCTCCGGTGATAATTAATTACTCTTAATGTGAGTTTTGCTAGGTTATCAAAACTCTTGTTAGGATTTATACTGGAGAATAGTCATATAAATGAAGTGTTGGTAATAAATATATTTTTCAAGCATCAATTAAATATTAATTTTTACTATAGTATTTATTGCAAATAATTTATTTATATGGTTTTTCTCCGGTATTAATTGATTACTCTTAATGTGAGTTTTGCTAGGTTATCAAAACTCTTGTTAGGATTTATACCGGAGAATAGCCATATAAATGAAGTGTTAGTAATAAATATGTTCATCAAGCACCAATTAAATATTAATTTTTTACAGTAGTATTCATTACAAATAATACATTTATATTGTTTTTATCTGGTATTAATTTATGATTCTTAATGTGGGTTTCTATACAGCTTAGTACTAATGATTTTGATTTATTTATTTACACATGATTTATAATGATGAGTCTATGAATTTATAGTTATTGTAAAACAACACATTTTCTAATAGTTCTTAGAATTTATAATTATTTGGTAGATCATTACACTTCTTTACAAAGAAAAACATAAAGGTTCAAATAAAATCATAAAATGTAATGCTGTTTGATAAAAGAAACATCAAATAAATTATAAGTAATTTATTCGTCCTTTTTTTTATTCCTTAAATTATTTATCTATACATTTGTTCATAAACAATTAACTATTATACACAATACACATTTTATTACATTAGAAAGTTAAAAAATAAATTTAATTGATAAAACTAATATTACTAATGATATCATTAAATATATGTTATTGATTTTAAATATATTATAATTATTTTACTGTAAAATAATTTTTGTATTTATTCTTAAAATATGATTCAAAATTTTTATATGTTTATAAACTTAACTTGTGTTATAATTATATTATAATTTAATAGGTGTAATCAACTATCAATGTATTCTTACTATACATTAATCTTAAATAAATTTTATATTATCCATAATATTATTTTTAACAAGCATTTTCTTTATTAAATATTTTACTTGTAATTTAATTTTTAATAAGTTTTCCTTGTCACCTTGTAAATGTTATTGAATGAATTTACCAATAGTATATATCATCATTAATAAATAATAATATAAAGTGCTTCTTAATAAATGGAAGTATATTTTTTAATTATGATGTTATAGAAGGTTATGTATAAAAATATTTACTTGAATAAATAAATTAGTATTATATATATATAGCAATTTTGGTTTAACTTGCCAAATTTATTGATGATACCTTGCCAATGCAATAGTCATTCTACTTGGCAATAAAGTAATGCTGTATGCTAAATTACATAAACTGTGTGAAAATTGATATTACCCAATCCATAGGCAGGTAATATGGTATATGCTCAAAAAAATATTTGTGTACACAATTATAGTATTCAGTTGACTTAAGCTCTTAACATATTTATATATAATTTACAAAGTGTTGAATTTATGATTTACTAATTTATAATTTTAAAAAAATTAACAATAAATATACTTTTCGAGTACCTTGTTAAGAAACAAACTTACTAATGATTTAGAAGTAAATCAATCATAAAATACTTTAGATATAATACTTATGATGAAATAAATTTGAACAAAAATTTAAATTATTTAACCATTTGTTAGTGTATAGACATTTTTTTGCATCTTAAGTGTGTTGAGGTTTATTGCACTCTACAATTTAATAAAATAACATAAAATCAATTTTATAGTTCAACTTTTATTAAAATTGAATTGAATAACAACTTGTTAACATAGATATAATATTATCTAAAAAAAAAAAATAATTTTTAGTAAAATTTTAATAGTATTTTACGAGGAAAATATATTTTACTTTTAACTATAAAAAATGTTTGCATTATAGGATACAACATAAAAAAGGATTTCATGCAGGTAAAAATTTGATTTGAAAAATTTCAATCACTAATGTTGTGCAAAATCTTATCACGTGGAGTTTAATAAATTCCAACACACTGATGAAGGGTTAAGAAGCATAATGAAGTATAATTAATTTGAAATTATACATTGTTAAGGTTATGATCTCATGAGTTGACTGTATTGTCTTCAACTTAAAAATGTACAACATAACAAATTTATATTCAATAGAATACATTTTGTGATGTTAGTTTTAATAATACAATACATTTACGAAATACTTTGAGTATCATCTAATTCATAATACTAATTGCCTACTTATTTTTAATATAAAGCAAGTTATTACTAAACTATTACTCATAACTCACTTTAAAATTAATTATAAAACCGACGAAAAAATAAAGATAATGATCATAATTATATTGTAAGCCATAAGGGAACCCACTCTGATCCATATTGGGAGTTCCAATTATTTCTTTATATCTATTTCAGTTTTAAATCCATCATTTGAGACTAGGCCGGATCATTGGAACGTTTACTGTCAGATGTCCTTTATCATCTCAATTAATACATTTTCTCATTTATAGAAAAGACATTCCGTTTGACTATGAATGATCAATAAACGTTCGATTATTCTGCGAACTTACAATTATCACGAGTCTCGTGACCTCCAAGCGTTTTGAATTTTCGCGCGTTAATAGAACGTTTCGTCCCGGTGTATTCAAACGTTCACAGTTCTCGTTGTGATGGGCGGGCAGTCTTGCTTATCGTTATCGTGGTTTTTTTTTTTTTTTTGTTTTTCTTGTGTTCGTCTCCCGAACCAGAAGTGCTTTACTACACGAATTATTAATCCGTTGATAGTGTTGTGTTTATTCCTGATTTCTTCGTACACAACGACAGCGATCAGTATCCAGTGACAGTTTATACCTATTTATGACCACGATTAACAGATCAACGGACGACATGTAACACGGTCACGACTGTTTTTTTGATTCTACCAAAACAGAGTACACTGCTGATCGTAGACACCCCGAGGGCTGTACAACGCCGTCCTTTCTGGCTAACGCTTCTAGTAAAAGATCTGATGCCCGTCGTATTGCTCAAATCTGTTGATAAATGATGAAAATGAGCGACGAAACGCCAGTCAGTTCACTGGTTCTACCAGTTTTGATCAGGCCAATTTTGTCTCAGGTATTTAATTATTATTAATTTTCTACGCTATAACAATCCTTTCTAAAATGTTCTTTATTATTACTTCTTTGGTTCTATCATATTTTTGATTTTAAATCAAATTGTTCTTATGCCGTTTACACAAATGTTATTGTGTTAAAACTAAATTATGATGTAATTTTCAGTTAGAGAAACGCAATGTTTCTGCATCTCAAACTTTACGGTCAGCTTTGTTTAAAACTGAAAATACTCATCCTGGATTTGCGTACAATTTGGTAGCTGGTATTATGAAACAAGGTGATATTAGCATTAATATGAATGAGAGTGTATTAAGACTTCAAGGCACAGTTTCTGATCTAGAAGGTAAATTTTAAAGTACCATTTAGTGTTAAGTATTTAATATTTTAAAATTATTTTATACATTTCCATTCTTTAAAATTTAAGAACAAGTTCTCTTATTTTAGTTGCATGTGAAATTTGCATAGTAAAAATTATTATAGGTGTATTATCATCAACTTGAATTTTGACTATCTTGATATATGAACCTACAGATGTTTATTAAATATATTATATTACTCTGCTTTTAATCAATAGGTTATTTATTATAACAATAATTAAATCATGGAATTATATATATTTGTATACATTTAATGGTCAATCATAGTGTATGTTAAGTTAGTATAAAATATATTACATTTAATATAATACAGATTCTTTTGGAGTATATTTCATAACTTTGTAGTTCTGAATTTGATACCTTTCTATCAAGTATTCCCACAAAACTTGGTTGAGTTGCACCTAATTTAATTTCTCTTATATTTTACTTTAATATTTAGACATTTTTATCTACTTAACATGGCTTTTAAAACCAATTAGTAGCCAATGTGTCAAGTCTGAATATTATGAATAATATTAAATTTCATAATTATTCAATTGCTGATAAATTTTTATGATTGTTATTAGAACTTTCTCAGAAATTCATATTTTTTCATTTTAGTAACTACTTTAAGGTATTTTTAACAATATTTTTCACTGATTTCACAGACAACTAAATAATGTACTTTTTATAATAATTACTCTTAGTTATATCTTCGGTACCTAATACTTTTAGGATTTTACAAAATGTATTATTCATAAAATATCCAATAAGTAAATGTATGCAAAGGTGGTATACATTATATAATATATTTATATATATTATTTAATGAAAAATTTTCTCTACACTTAAGTAGCAAGTGAATATACAATTTAGACAAATACAATCCTAAACTAAACTATTACTTTTTGTACCATATTATTGTTTTTTGTGTATTTTACTATTAGTTTTTCAGAAATTATAATTAAAAAATAATGAATTAATAATTAATTAACATTGCTGCAACTTGTTTAATATCAATTTAAAATTAAAATATTAAAACTTTTCATATGAACCATGATTTTTACAAACATAATTGGCTATTTTTAGTACATACAATATTAGTTGATGTTTAATAATGATAATAATATAATAATAATTGTAGGTAGGCACTTAATTTTGATATTTTCAATTAGGTGTTATAATTATATTATTTTGTTTTTTTTTCCTTTAACTAAGATGATTATTTGTTTGTTAAGACTAAATATTTATTTGTTATAATTTCTTATTATGTCATGCTGATTATTGTACCACTCTGTATTTATTTTATGGATTGTAATAAAAGTATAGGGTATTATAAAAACCATTATTCTTAATACCTAATTGTTTATGCATGACTAAGAATTGTTTTACTATTATACTTCAGATACTAATCAAATAAATAAACTAAAGTATTTGAATAAAATCCCTTGAATTACCTAAATTTATTAAATTTTAACATAAGTACAAAACAGACTGTAGATTTTATGACTATACTACATAGAATTTATATTTATTAAAGTTAAAATATTCTAGTGTCTTTTTTTTTTCAATATTGTTGATAAAAGGTAAATTAAGAAATTTTTCATAAAGGTTTCTGTTATTTATATTAATCAAAACTTGTTTTGTGGATAATTGATTATCAAAATTCAAAATTCTTAAGTAAACAAACCAAACTTGGTATTATTCTTTATTCTTTGTCAGCTTTTAAGTACTGTTATTTGATAAATAAAATAAAATAAATTAAAAGTTAAATATTAATGTATAATTAAGTTTAAGTTTATTAATAGTTTAGTAGGTTTGAAGAGTTGTTAATTTTATATTGTATATTTTATTATAACATAAAATATTAAACTATCAATACAAATATAATAAAATATTATATGTTAATTAGGTGGCGAACATCGATTAAATAGATCTGAAGATGCATTTCAAGAATTAAATAAAAAATCTATGGCTTTAAAAAGAATATTAAGTCGCATACCAGATGAAATCAATGATCGTAAAACGTTCTTGGAAACAATTAAGTAAGTTTCCAATAATGTCTATATATTTGTAAAGAAACATAGTTTCATAGTTTTATTGCTATCACATATTTGTAAATATGATGAATTGTTCATGGCAACTTTTTTAAATAACTTTATATATATATATATATTTAGTCATTTAGATTTTGAACCATTACTACTGGTAAAGTGGTGATATTTTTTTTTAAACATAGTTTAATCATATATCTTATTGTGTATTTTATGTAGACTTAGTAAGATATGTTATATTATCTATAATTTATGTATAATTTATAATCTTTAATTTTCTATTATAACTGTATTTAAACAAAAAGTGACTATGCAAATCACAGAAAGGACATAATACAATTATCTTCAAAACTCGCCAAAGAATAATTATTATTAATCAACAATTAAGTTATACTTGAGTTTTTAATTGTATTAAGCTGATATAAAAAATATATTGATTGTATTTTATATAGTCAATTTATAAATATACAATTTATTATAAGGTTTTCAAAAACCTTATAATAGTTTTTGAAAAATGTAAAATAATTTGTTTTCAAATAATAAATCACTTAAGTCTAAGAATTATTTAAATGTTTAAAGATATTATTAAATGAGTTAATTATCATATATACTTAGATTTAAAATATGAGTTTTTAGTTTGTTTAACTCTTATACTAACTTGTTTTATTTATAATTACAGAGAGATAGCTAGTGCTATAAAAAAATTACTTGATGCAGTAAATGAAGTATCTGCATATATTCCAGGGCCTAGTAATAAACAAGCATTAGAACAGAGAAAACGTGAGTTTGTTAAGTATTCCAAGCGGTTCAGTAATACACTGAAGGATTATTTCAAGGAAGGACAGTAAGTAAAATTAATACTTATTTATAAAACATTAACATTTCCTACAAGAACTTAAGATAGTATCTGTTGAATTATAAGTGACATTTACGTTTTGACAATTTAGCAAAATTCCACCAATACTTATTAAAAAATATTTCAACTAAAAATGAAAGAAATGAAGAAAATTTTTATGTTTTTGATAGTTGATATTAATCTAGCCGTATAAATTATAAATCTTGTAAAATTTAATAAAAATAAATGCATAAAATAATCAATTTAAAAACAAAAATGTTAAAAATTTTCTTTCATGATTTTCAGTATACCTAAAAAAAAAAAGTGTTTGAAAAAAATACTATTTTAATAATGAAAGATAACTTAATTTTTTTAATTTTTTTATATACAACTTAATTAGTTTAATTGCAACTCAAGTTCATAAACTAATGGTCAAAATATTGTTTTTAAAAATTATTAAAAGAAAAATTAATTTCAACAATTTATAATATGATATATATATATATATTCTTATATCAAGATACTATAATGCTTGCTAAACTTTAAGAAAAATTTTAATTATTATTTTATATATTTTTTTTAACACTAGAAAATATTTTTTAAAGTTTTGTTAAAATAATGGAATAAATTTTTGTTTTGTTTCAGTGCCAATGCAGTATTTATCAGTGCCTTATATTTAATTCACCAAACAAACCAAATTATGATAACTGTAAAAAGTAAATGTGAATAACATTTTTAATTTATCTTATATTTCAATTAAAAAGTAAACAATGTAATACATTCCATTACCAATTATTTATCTCATAGAAAAAAAAAAGAATATAATGTTATATAGTTTTAAAATAGTATCAAAGTATATTTTAAATATCTATCTTGTATTTTCTATTTAAATACTTAAACATATTTAGAAAATTATTTATAAATATCACTATTTTTACAAATACTTTTGATCTATTTATGAACAATATTATTTTTATTTTGAGTTTTTGAATTTTAAAGACTTATTTTGATGAAGTTAAATTTCTACTTTTTTTCTTTTATTATATTTTAACTAGCAAATTCTTATTACAAATTTTAATATATAATAGCACTTGACCATTTCAAATAAATCTTTTTGTTTGTTAACATTCAATTATAATTATGATTTGTTTTATAGTCAATAGTGTTTAATTGTCACTATTATTTCGTACATATAATAAATATTCATAAATGTTATATTTTTATGCACAGTATTAAAGTTAAAAATGTGATAAAGTACAAGTTGTACTAATAAATTCTTATATCATACATAAAGGAATATAGTGTGTTAAGTATCAAAATTAAATTATTACCATTATTTATTATTAAAATTTAAATTAACTACAAAATACATTTTTATTTTTTAAATAATGATTATGTTTAGAACATTTCAAAGCTCTATTTTTAATTATTATGAATAAACAACTGTTAACCCTTATCTAAACTTATTACTATTTACTCAACTAATACATTGTAATTGAATTAATAAAATAGTATATTATTAGTTAATTTATTTTATTTATATATATATTATATATATGTAAAAAAAAATCTAATTTGTTTAGAATGTAATATTTGAAATCAATTATTATCAATAGAATATTTTATCACTTCCCATAATTATTATAGGAAAATAAATTTAGAAACATGTGCAATTTACCTTAAATGTCAAAAAATTATTATACAGGATTTTAAACAAAAAAGTATTTTCTATTTTTAAAATTACATGTTTACTATATGTTTTATTTCATTGTGTTGTTAATTATGTATAAAAACATTTATATTGAAATAGGGATCAAATGAAGTGATATTGAATGAATTGCTTAGATAAATTAAAATTAGTTAAATGTTTTAAGTTTGTTTATTTTTTTTTTTCTAAAGTGTGTGAAATAAAACTTCCTTAAAATTGTTCTAGTATGAATTCTATTAAGTATAATTTGAACTTATTTTCTCATAAGAAAAAAGTATATTTATAAACATACATAATATTCTGTATGGTATCCTTTTTTTTTTCAATATTTTTTGGATTGTTTACAAAGTATTTTTATAAATTTATTTTTTTTATAAAATCTTACCATTTATTAACAGTAGTATTTATTTAAAAGTTGTCTCAGTAACAAGAATGTGTGTAGAATGTTATAAAGCATATAAATATAGTTAGAAGTATTTAATATTTATGTTATTATTTCAAATATATTATAGATAAATATGAATTACATAAAATATTGTTACAATTTATTAAATCAAACCACTTGAAATTCAATTCTCGGTGTTATAAATTATAAATTAGTAGTAAATTTCTATGTTAAATGACTATCATATATTATTAAATATAATATTCATACGGACGATGACACAATGTATTATAAGTTATAATAGTTATTATATTATTTCATCTAGAACATTTAATTGTAGTCATAACTTAAAAAACATTAACATAAAACGTTTTATTATTTTTTTGGCTTGAACTTTGAAGAACTTCATTTTTGCAAATAATTTTTAATCTGTATTTTAATTTTTAAGATAGTTACAAATCATAAATAACAAATACAAACCTACATAACTTATACTATATAATAGTATCATTTAAAATACTGAGATATTTATTGTGTGCTATAAATAAATAGATATTTATAGAATTTTTTATAGATATTTTTACTGACTATTTTAATATTAGCGTAAACATTAAACAATTATGTTTTTTTTTTATAATAGCATTAAATAATAGGTGGCTAATTTAAAGGACACTTCTTAGGCACTGCATATCTTTATTCTTGATGCAATATTCATATTTGTGTTTATTCAAATTAATGTCAGAATATCAGAATGTCGGATTAAGAGTTCATTTTTCAAAAACATTACAGTTTTTTTAATAAAACAAATAGATTTCTTTCTGTTAAAATATGTATTTAATTCATTTATTTTGTGAAGTCATTTTTTCAAATATAAGGTAACTGAATTATTATTATGTAACAATAATGAATCTGTCATTATATCAAGATATTTTATGTTAGCAATAAAGTTCAAGGATAATAAAAATATATATATATGCTGATTGCCAAACTGAATTTACTTATCTATATTTAACACCTGCTAACAAAACGCACAATTCTCATAATTACATTTAATCAATATGGAAAAAGATAGGACTCCTATTTCACAATAAAATCCTTGTATCTTGAGCACAAAATATGAAAAGGTATTTTGTTAGACATAGTTAACTCCTTCATGTCAATTTGGATTGTGATTGATAAAGCTATTCATTTTTATTGAGTCATTTAAATGTTTGATAAAATTTGATTATTATAATGAACACAATTTTAATTTTTAATTAGTTTCAATAATAAACACTGAAGCCCCTAAAAAATTGTCTTGTATTATAAATTTAGCAAGCAAAATTTTTAGGAAATAGGGAACTATTAAGAATTTAAAATCTAAATTTCATATTAATTCAATCATCTAAATAAATGACAGTAAGATGGTGGAACACAATTTATGCTTATGAAATAGTAACAAAATGGTGCAATTCAAAGTTGGGAGCATAGAAAAACAAAAAAAAAAGAAACAACTTAATATCTAACATATGCCAATTATAAGAAAGTACATAAAGTAGACACATGACACTTATCGTATTAGCCAATACTTAAACTCTAGTAGTTGTATGTTGCACATACTAGATATATTTCTTGTAAGATAATATTTTTAATTGCCCAAACAGCATTTTTTTCTCTACGCAGTGTTAGTAGTTTATCAATGCCTAATAATACAGACTACAAAGCTTTTAAAGCTTTTTGATGTGTGGTTTTTCTATGTTTTAAGTGAGAAAATTCGTTATTTTTTCTTGTCCAGATATCATCTCATACATTAATATAATAATACACCATAATCTGTACCAATCTAAAAGGAATATTAAAAACATAAAACGACAAACATTACATAATTTTACAATTGACAATAATATTAAATCACTATGACACAATATTGTAGGTACTTGTCGTACTTCTCTTTTAGACCTTCGGTAAAATAATTAATAATTAATACTTAATAGTTGACATTGTTGACAATTATATTATTGTTATAAATGTAAATATAAAATGTTATCAAATAGTATTTAAATTTTTTTTCGTCGAACGAGGGGAAAAAATTATATTATAATAATCATTGGGTGTGCTACACTGCAGTTTTGGTCATATGATATTTCGGTCATCGTTTAGTGACGATTTCCGTTGAAAAAAAAAAAAAACATTAATCTGCAAATCGTTTTTCATTTTCATTGTCTTGCTAGTTTGCTACCATCGTATATTCTTATTTCGTAGTTCGCACGCTCCACCACAAAATAATCGGTCATTAGATTTGTCTCAAGTTTTTTCGGCTGTAGTTATAAAATATTGGTTATTTACATAACAATTCTAATCTATTCCTTGCACATAAATGCAATTAATCATACCATTATTAATTATTCTATCCTGTTATAAATAACGTTCAAATTTCCCATTATATCTAACATATAGGTAAGTACACGTTCCTTAATCCTTGTATAATTGGTATGTACCTATTAATGTTGACTTGCATCATTTGGGAAACTTAATGTTGAAAAAATATTATTAAATAATATTTTGGGATTTTAAGGGACAATGGAAAATTATAGTTAAAATTATATTAATTTATTTATTAATAGGTACTATTAAATCAGACATTTATTAATCGTAGAATACTAGAATAGCAAAATTATCATCTGCTTAAAATACAATAATATATTACTGATTTACTTATATATAAAATTTATACAACATAATATAAGACATACCTTGGTAGTAAGTATTATCAGGTCAAAAAAATCAATGATAAAAGATTGTTAATTTATTTAATAACTATTATTTTATTTCTGAAAAACATGATTATTTACGAAATTACCAAAACAAACGATTTTTAACAATAGATATAGATAGGTATAAAACAATTTGCAATTTTTTGTGAATTTTATCAGCAATTGAACTTCATTTCTAATAAATAAAATTTATGTAAAACATTCTATTAAATTATTTGGTATTTTTACTTAAAATCGAAAATTTATTATTTATAAATCGAAGAAAGTAAGTATTTTAAATGCTTATGAAAACAAAACAAAACAAAACATTTTGAAAATTGTACTTATCCTAAAAAATACTAAGTATAAATATTTAATAAAAAACTCGAGTTTCTAAAGTTATTCATTATTTAATAAAAACAAAATTATTAGTTATTTTAAAACGAATACATTTTTTTCGCTCTGCTTAGATTCTAAAATTTATCAATTCAAAATTGTGCAATAACAAAAACACTCAATAACAAGAATAATTTTTCAATAAATACCTAGAATAAACGTTTCCTCCAGGGCCCGACTAATACTTATTTCCAAATATTTTTATTTATCTTTCTTTGTAATATGATTAAAATAATAATTATTGTATTTTTAATGATGTATTTATTTCATTATGTACTTTTTTGTATATCGTTCTTTTAAAGTAAAATAAAATACCTAGCAACTTTGATTAAATTAGTATTCTGAAAAGTGAAATTTCAGTCAATTTAAAATTAATTCGGAAAAATTACAACAAAATTAAGAAAACAAATAATTACGAAATAAATTTAGATTGTTATTGGAATTAAATTTTGAAATATTAAAAATAATCATAGATGTTCTTGAAATGTTTACTAAATTTATTAATTTTATTTGTTTTATGATAAAAATTTTGATTTCTTAGTTAAAAAAGCTTAGGAATTGATTAGAAGGTTTCTCATTA